AAAGGATCCGAGGGCGGCACTGTGACCTGGACCTTATTATCTGGGCTCGAAAGAGTAAGCTACGGTGCATTAGGAGCGCGGGTAAGGTGGTTGGGACATTGGCTACTGTTGGAGGAGCCATGATCATGACACTTGTCAAAGGCCCAGTTGTTGACCTCTTTTGGACCAAAGGAGTCTCTGCACATAACACAGCTGGGACCGACATTCATAGTGCCATCAAAGGCGCAGTATTGGTCACAATTGGTTGTTTTAGCTATGCATGTTTCATGATTCTCCAAGTAAGACGAATTTTGACAATGAATCAATGTTTTTCATTTATGGATCAATTTTGACAATGAATCAATGTTTTTCAGGCGATAACATTAAGGACTTACCCCGCTGAGCTCTCTCTCACAGCATGGATATGCCTTATGGGGACAATAGAAGGAACCGCCGTGGCATTAGTGATGGAGAAAGGAAATCCCGGCGCATGGGCCATTGGTTGGGACACTAAACTTCTTACAGCCACCTATAGTGTAAGCATACATATCTCAGTAGGCTAGTGACTCATGGACTTCACCATCTATGTCAATAACTTAAAATTATTGGAATACAAAATGTATGCAGGGGATAGTGTGCTCAGCATTGGCTTACTACGTTGGAGGAGTGGTGATGAAAACCAGAGGTCCTGTGTTTGTGACAGCTTTCAGTCCTCTTTGTATGATCATAGTAGCGATTATGTCGACCATCATCTTTGCTGAGCAAATGTATCTTGGAAGGTAAGCAAGACACAAACAACAACATCTAAGACGAGTTTTAAATACCAAGATTGAAAGAAGGGTAATAAAAAATATTCTTTAATTTGTGGCAGGGTTCTTGGTGCGGTAGTTATATGTGCAGGATTATACCTTGTGATATGGGGCAAAGGCAAAGATTACAAATATAATTCCACACTGCAATTAAATGACGAATCAGCACAACCAAAGCTAGAACTAATCGGGAAGGATAATGTTGATCATGAAGTCATTACTATAAGCAAGCAAGGAGAACAAAGAAGAACAGTTGTAGAAACAGTCTAACTTAACGGTATCGGCACAAATGTTTTTCATGGAGGAGTAACGTATAGCAGTTTCATTTGTTGTCCACTATGTTTCAGAGCAACAATACCATAGAATTGCTAACTACCATGGGAGAAAAATAATTGTCTAATTAAGAGGAACAGAGATGCAAAAAAAAAAAAATGATGAAATTATTGGATTCATGCAATACACAATGTATATGATCATTGCAGTTGTATTGGCTACACCAAAAATTGTGACAATATTCCAGAGAATAAATATCGACTATTTGGGACAATGATTTTGGTGAATCAGTTTAGTTCTATGGTTCGATTGATTTTGAGTCAAATTAATATGAACAGAAAATAGTGTTTGAACCGGTATGTGGTCTGAGGATCTCGACTCTTCCCTCATGTACCACAGTTGTTTCATCCTACCACCTTTCCACAAGATTTGATTTCTCACTTATTAGGCTATTAGCACTTCACTGTTTGCGTTTAATTAAAGGTTTGGAAAATTGGATATAAAAGATGTCTACATATATACATTTTTGGTGAAATTATCACTTTCGACTAAACTATCTCTACACTCTATTTCAAACAGTTTTTTTTAAAAGATAACCAGAAAAACATGTAGATATACAAGAATAAAGATGATTAGAAGTTAATTTTTTTTTTCTTTTTTGTTGAAAAAGTTGATTTTTTTATAAATAAAGTTTCGTCAAATTTTGTTAGAAAACGTTTTTTAGATTTTTACGAAAGTCAGAGTGTGTATTCTACACTTTTGTATATGTTCTACGAATTTTATACTTGTTTTCCATTCTGAAAACTTCAAAAATCCGAATATCAAATTTCCAAAATATTTGGAATATGCATTTTATGCTTTGCTTTATGTTCTAATATTTTTTTTAATATTCATTCTACTAATTACTTCATTTTTTGTCATCGTTAGAAATTATAATTTTTTTTTTAGAATTCTCTAAATATATAAAGTGAAATTTCAGAAAAAAAAAAAAACTGAATATTATTTTAGATTACTTATTAAATAAAATTTAATTTGTTTAAATTACCCTCCCCTGACTCAAAACCAATCATAGCACCCTTCCCTGATTCAAAACGTACTCTTCTCAAGAAATGAAAACGATCAGTAATTCCAAACCTTATCTTTACTCTGATAAACATTATATAAATAGTGATTTTTTCATTGAAATCAAGATCAACAACTTGCATTGGTTGAAAACCCATTTGCGTATCTCAATAATAAAATAATGATATTTTTAATTATTTAATTATTTTTGTAGTTGTTGAAAGTTTTAAACCAATCACAATGGGTCAAGTGTAGATATGGTTTCTAAGATAGTTTCTCAAATAAGAAACTACTCTCATAGTATCATTTTTTTTTAATTGATTGTTTTAATGGGGATGGAGGTGCTCTCATGTTTCCACTTGTTTTATTGTTTTTTCTCTCTCCCTTATCTCTTCCATGGATTCGTTTCAGTCTCTTTCCTCTAATTTTGGTAGAAACCCTCTTAGTGATCTTGCAGAGATGGCATGTATGAAGAAGGCACTACCATTCCTTTTAATGGTATTGTTGCAGATAGGGCTAGCAGGAATGGACATTCTCACAAAGGATGCCCTAAACAAAGGCATGAGCATTTACGTTCTTTCCGTCTACCGTCACGGCGTTATATCAACTTCTCTCAAAAAACATAATTCAATGTTTGGTTTTAGTAGTTTCAAGACCATGATAGGAGATTATCATTCAAGCCTAATTGTTCCTTTTTTTTAAAACTCAAACGCAAAAGTATACGTGGTTTTTACGTCTAAAACAATCACAGCTCTATAGTTTGATATAAATTGGGATAACACAATGTTGAGTCTCTTTTATTTGTGGATGGTTCTTGGACGTTTAACATATGTTAGAAGACAAAAGAATTGTAACGGTTTTCTATATTTGTCGTCTGTGGCTTTGCCAATATCATGCATTAAATTTGAGTACTTAACATTTAGTGTTCTCTATACAAACTAATTATTGGTAATGATGTAAAAAAAACAAGATGGTGAGACCGAAGATGACACCGATATATAATATTCTTCAAAATAGCGCTTCTTAGAGTACTATTTATTTTTTCTTCGAATTCTTTCAATTAATTATTTTCTATCAGACATCTCTCTTCCTTTATTGACTTAATCTGATTTAATTTCCATATCGTTCATGTATTTTGCGTATAAATAGTCCAGTGATCGCTCAAAACTTATTCAATCTGGGGATGAAATACACGACAGCTACATTTGCAATTGCCTTGTACAACACTTTACCTGCGGTCACGTTCATCCTCGCCTTAATATTCAGGCTCGAAAGTGTGAAGCTTCAAAGTATCAGGAGTGCAGCTAAGGTGGTTGGAACAGTGACTACAGTTGGAGGAATCATGGTCATGACACTTGTAAAAGGTCCAGCTCTTGACCTCTTCTGGACTAACGGACCCTCTGCACATAACACAGTTGGGACCGATATTCATAGCTCCATCAAAGGCGCAGTTTTAGTCACAATTGGTTGTTTCAGCTATGCATGTTTCATAATCCTACAAGGCTATTTTCAAAAAAAAAATATTAAAAAATACACGTGTAGATCGATTTGGACTATGAATCAAATGCTTTTTTCAAGCAATCACATTGAAGACTTAGTGAGAGACTCTCCATTGTATATGCTCTTATGTAGTTCATCTTTTTCAATTTTACCTTTATATATATAAACAAAAGCAAAAGCTTTATATTCCACTTAATTTATAAACAAAGTAAAAAACTAATCTACACAATTCGATCTGAACCAAAACTTAGCTAATAGAGGGAAACAAGGAAAAAAGGTAACCCAATATTAAAATAATTTAAACAATCCTGCTTTTGCCAAATTTGAAAGCTCCATTGTCCAATCCTAGGAATCCATGTGTCATCTCTTCTTTGTCAACATGAAAACATCCAAAAAGAAATAGAAACAAAAAACCAAAAGTAAATTAGGAAGCAGACGATATAAGTCTAGGTTGTGTATCTATACAACTCTGTGCACGTGTGAGTAACAAGATCTCTTCAGCTTGAACTTTCCCGTGGCACGTATAAGGCAATACCGGGTTGGGACGATGATTTTGGTTAACGGGTTTAGTTTTCCGGTTCGATTGATTCTGAGTCAAGTCAATATGTACCGAAAATAGAGATTGAACCGGTCGATGGTCCGAGAATTTCGACTCTCCCCTCACGTACCAAAGTTGTTTCATTCCGTCACCTTTCCACAATATCCTATCACACCTGAAATAAATGATTTTGAAAACAACAATAGAAAATTAACGTTTAATATAATCATTACAAAATATTTAGTGCATGTTAATTATCTTACCAAGCCGGAGTTCTTCGTTTTTCCTTTGATTTTTCGGTTTGAACAACGTAATTATCAGAGTTTATTCGATATTTATATGTTGGTGCGAAATAAATCTTCCCTTCTTCCCATCCCTTAAAAATCCTACCAGCTCTTTGTTCTATCTTAAGCTGCAAACAGAAAAAGAAATAAACATGTTTTAGTTTAATTACTCTTGTATAAGCAATCATAAAAATAATTAATCAATTTTAAATTAAAATTATACTAACCTGATCTTTCTCTAGAAGTGCTTCCCAATCATGGTTTCTAAGCTGTTCATGCACGTCACTGCTCGCGCTCAGCCGATAATTCAAATCTCCGAGCCATATTACTTTACTGTAACATAACCAACGTGATAAAACGATTAAAACATGAAACTTCATATTAAAAAAACGAACGTTATACGAGCATTTTTATAAACTTACTCATGGTCCATAATTGTCTCCGGTCGAGAATCTTTAGAAGAACGTGAAAATCTTGTCCTCTTAAATATTTCGGACACATCTAAGTTTCTTCTGAGCTCGTCGCCTTCTTTTTCTCCAGACGTAAGATGCGTACAAACGAAGCATAAACTTGTTTCATGCAACGACATGCTGATCGATACCGAACCCTACACAAGGTTATACATCGTTAGCTACCAAGCATACACGTTTATCAAAATATCTTAGAATCAGTTTTATTGAAACGTAATATGCAAATCTTGGACTAACCTTGTTTCCAAGATATCCCATGATACCACGGCCAACACATGAAACCTTGAGGTTGGTTATACGTTTCCGGAGATCATCTCTAACCCACACACACAAAAATATCCCCACCATCTGTTTACTCGCCGCAAGGCTATACCCACGAGGAGGAGTCGAATTGCATGGAATTATTCGGTTATCATCTGAGAGACCTGAGAAGCTGAAACGGGGCTGTTGTGATGATTTCGTAAGTTCGAAGGAGGTTCTATGATTTTTAACAAGTTCGAGCTCATTTTGAGCTAAGTCGTTGTTGTTGTTCAAGGCTTCTCGGATAAGAGACAACCACTTAGCCGCAGGACCATTATCCTCTGCTCCAAGTACGTTACCGGCATTTAACGGCACGATTTCTTGAAACCTAAACAAAACAAAGTATTGATGTTATAATTAGTCCAAATATATATATTAAAAGTACGAGATCGAAAACTAATTAATATGATTATATGCATACCCTAGCACGTAAATGTCGGCATCGGCGGGAGATTTAAGCCAATCTTTTAAGTCTAGTCCTTCATGTGGCGACTTCCCTCCCACGTTCCATGTCCCCACGAACATTCTAATCATCAACAATTAAAAAATTTACAACGTTAATGATCATAGCTAATTATAGACCAAAGCTAAATTATATAAGGATACAAAATAATTTATAGGTTAATCATGAAAGTATTTATTACTTAAGATCAAGCTTGTCATCAACGCGTGTCACATGTTGTTCACCGGTTGAATGTTTTAAATCCCCATTTCCTTGGCCCAACCAACCTATTTCAACCAGAAAACATAAACAAAACCAATTAATTACACATTCAGACTATTATTATATTCAGACAGAGATATTAAGTGGATAAAACAAAAACTGGTGAATTGTGAGAGTAGCAAGTACACCTAAAACCAAAGACTTTTTTTAACTTACCGCCTAAACCTAATCTCTCACCCTACACGTGGAGACAGATGATACAACTAATCTCTATTTATCACTTTTAAAACACGAATTTCAAGCAAAAATCTCAGTTCCTTTTTTGCGGTCGTTTTTAACACAGATGTCTAATCCTATGGCTTAAGATGGACCCAAAGCTTTATGTTGTACGGAGACTGTCTCAGTTTAAGTACGGTTAACGGACAATAGATACGACGCCGTTTTCGATGCAACAAAACAATATAATAAAATTCATGAGCTGTTTTTATGGTTTTACCTGGAAAATCTTCCGGCACGATCATGTCGGAGCAGCTTTTTCGCCTCGGTTCCATCCTCCCTTGAAAAACAAAAAAAATAACTCCGCTAAGTCAGACGAGAATACTAAGAAAACGGCAAGAAGTTCTTGGAAAAAAGATCCAAAACGGCACGAGTTAATCTCTCACCTTTGACTGGATAATCAGAGTGAAATTCGTAAGAGCCGCTACGAAGGTTTAGCCACTTCCTCACGACGGTTCTTGGCCAAGAAGACTGTAAAACGCAGCCGTTTTTAGCAAAGAAAAGAGTAATAAATTTAGGAGACTAAAAAACGACATGTAGTTTCAAGAACGTACCTTAGATTTCAAGATCTTCCCCATATTTGTGGATAGAACGTCCTGCCGTTTTTTCCGCCACCGTTGTTTGTAAAGAGTCTAGAACCACAATCTAGAGGATTATAAAGGATGAGGATCTGGAAATTAAGAGGTAAGCAAGATATTAGTTATGCGTAAATGAAAGCGAAATTAATGAAAAATAATGACGAATAATATTTATTAAGCAATTTGGTCCAATCAACAAGCAAGAAAGACAGAAATTAAAATGTAAAATAAGAAAACGAAGACAAAAATTGAACCAAAAATAATACTACTAGCAGCTAAATAATTCAACGGAAAATATATAAAAAATCCTAGTTGCAGGAGAATTGGAGACAGATATTTTAAAAACTAGAAAAATGATTAATTAGAGGCTCTTAAATTAAGGAGAATTCTATAACAAGCATGTTGGAGTACATGTCATGAAGCGGAACTATCCAGATGCTTCCTTTACAAAGAGGTAAAACAGAGTGTATGGAAACAGAGACTACTATTTTGTATAACAAACAAAACTGAGACCAAGAGTCTTAATTAAGGAGAATCAATAAAAAGCATGCTCAAAAATTTAATTAAGACATGTCATGAAGGAGAATTAATATAAAGCATGTTCGAAAATTTAATTAAGACATGTCATGATACGGAAGAAACCTTGTTCTTCATTTACCATGTAAAAGCTTGTGGTTTAAGCTTAGCCTTTAAGAGAGGAAAAAAACAGAGTTTTTGAAAACAGAGAATAACCCCAAATTTTGAAACTTTGTTTCTTGCTTTCGAAATAAAAGCTAATTATAAGAAAATATTAGCGTACCCATCTTTGAATTAGGAAGGTGCAATAACGAAATCGATTTGATATTTTTGATTGATGAGAGAAAGGATAAAAATTGGAAAGTATTTATTTGAATTTTTTTTTTTTCTGTGGCATGGTGTTAAATGAGAAAATAAGGAAACAGAGCTTTCATGAAGAAATAAAACAGAGCAAGTAACGAACAAGAAGGCACGAGGAAAATTCAAGCGACGATATTAGTGAGTTCAACAGTCTTGTCCGAAAACGACTTCTTCGTCAAGGAACAAATAGGTCATTACAGAGTTAGTAGCAGACTTGAAGGGAAAAGTATTACTTACATGAGTATAAGTTATACAAAACAAGGTTTTGTGAACGAAAATGGAGAAGGGCCAGTTTAAATTTTGAAGGAGAAGAAAGAAACTTGTGAGGGAGAGAGAGAAAAGTTGTGAAGGATGAAGAGAAACGTTGTGCACTTTATACGGCTGTAAAATGGAATTTATAAAAGTTGTGTTATGTGTGAGGTGGACTCATTGGACCAATATTTTATGTGTGATATTTTTAGTATTTAATGATACTTTACATTACCTAGGCAAGGTTATTAAAATGTGAATTAGGATGGGAAGGTTAGTAGTAGAAAGTTATGGTAATCGTGTTAATTATAGAAGGGTTGTGGAAAAAGGAAGTTATACGATTTTTATTTTCTTTGTAATAACATAACATGAAATTATTTTGGAATACATGCATTAGCATTACATTTTCCAACGATTAGAAAATTCCGGGTCAACTCCTTGGCATCTCTCAAATGAATCCTTTTGTATGGTTGACTTCTTGAGACAAGTTTCACATTGAGCCCACGGTTTTGTTATAACATTGAAAATTTGAAATTATGAGTATAATCAAAACAAGCAGGATTTAATTACAGTAATCAAATTAACTAATAACTTACGACTGAATTATGAACTCAACTATTCAATCGTCTCTCCAATATTTCTTTAAAACTTAACAAAAAATATACATTTAAACCCTTTAAAAATAGAGACATAAAAGAAATGTGAATGACACAATAACCTTTTTAGCACAGTGTTACATTTAACATTTTAAGTCTTACCAAATTTGGAGCTTTAAATATTACTCTCTCCGTTTTCGAATAGTTGTCGTTTTAGAGAAATGTTTTTGTTTTTAATTAGTTGTCGTTTTCAGTTTTCGATGCAAAATTTATTACTTTTTTATTTTTTATATTTATTTTTATTATGCAACTTGATTTACTATTGGTTAAATTGTGTTTAGGTAAATAATTAATGATATTTTTATATTGAAAAACTAACAACATTAATAGTTTCTTAATTTGTGTGCATATAGTTAAAACGACAATTATTCGAAAACGGAGGGAGTATTGAATCTTTCTTTGAAACTTTTGCTTCTTTTTCTGATTTGGTTATGATATTTAATACAAGCATTAGCAACATACATTTACACCTAGTTTCTTTAAAAAAACAAAGAAGAAGATGCTTTTCCCCAAAAAAAAAAAAAAGTTTTCTGACGTGGAAATACTGCAAATCAAACTGCAATTGGCAGAGTTGACACATACCGTACAAATGTCTTGGTCAAATCAGTTAAGTTCTTTTGAAAACGTGTACTATTTTGCTTTTATCTTCAAACTTGTTAATTTTCCCCCATATATAAATAAAACAAAAACAAAACCAATTATATACTTATTATTCACATTTTTTTGCCATGAAAATGTGTAAATACAACCATTAATGACTAAATGTTGTTAGAGTTTCTAGTAAATGGGTCGTTTGGGAATTGGGACATTCAATAAATTGGAACGATAGTAAAAATATAGAAATGGAACGAGTGTATATTACTATTTGGACAATCAAAAAGGAACTAAACTGCATTTATTATGAAATACCACTCCCTCCGTTTCATAATATAAGTCGTTTTGGAGAAAAATTTTTGTTTCACAATATAAATCGTTTTCAAGTTTCTATGCAAATTATATATTATTTTAATATTTTATAATTATTTATATTATGCAGTCTCGTTTGTGATTGATTGAACTTTTTAAAAGTGGATCTTCTTAATCTACGTGCTTAAAACTAAACCGACTTATATTATGAAACGGAAAGAGTAATTAATTTTGAAGAAATGAATCATACTATCCTAAAAGATGAAGAATATTTAAAAAAAAAAAAAAAAAGATAAAGAGGTTCGCTAGCTACGCCTTATGTGATTATTCTCATGCTTCAAAAATGTAAAAGGGCAGCAATCTTAAGAAATTATTGGTTTAAGCCAACTATTTATCTTTACACAGTTTACAACCCAATAGACAAAGGTTATTGGACACTTTTTCATGAATGTTTAGTTAATACTCCCTCCGTTTTCGAATAGTTGTCGTTTTAGAGAAAAAATTTTGTTTTTATTTAGTTGTCGTTTTCAGTTTTCGATGCAAAATTTATTACTTTTTTATTTTTTATATTTATTTTTATTATGCAACTTGATTTACTATTGGTTAAATTATGTTTAGGTAGATAATTAATGATATTTTTATATTGAAAAACTAACAACATTAATAGTTTCTTAATTTGTGTGCATATAATTAAAACGACAACTATTCGAAAACGGAGGGAGTACTATATAGACGTCTGCAATCTGCACAATTGGATAAAACGTTATTGATTTCCTTGAACGTTTTAAACATTTTCTTGTTTATTATATAGATTTATTAGAGCCATTAGCCATCTATATATATATATATATATACAGACGCCTATATGTGTTTGTGAAAAAAAAACCTCGGAAAATTGAACTTTTGAAGAGCTCTTTTTTGACTAACCCACAAAAACCTACGAATCGTCAATTCGTCATCGTGCTTAACACTCGGACATGTGTTCCAACTCCTTTATTATTTTAGTCTTCGTACAAATCAGAATTCCACAAACATGCATATAAATATAATTAATAACCAACTAATCACATAATCTTAGACGACACGTCCTGATTTATCTACGGTCCGTATATTAACGCAACATATATAGATCAGGTAGGTTAAATTCTCGCATTTATTGATCTCCTGTCTTTCTCACTATGGATATGATCTTATCGATCCATTTACAAGGAGAGATGAAGATCCATGTTCCCCGATGTATTAACAATTATTAATACCTCTTCTAAATCCCATTAACTTATTAAGCTAATTGTTCTTTCGGAGTTTTAGATGTTTGACTAGTCGAAGAAGCTTCCAATATGCATATTTTATATTGCTTATATATTTCCCCTTTGGATTAAATTATTAAATGTTTTAAACATTTTGCAACTGTGGCTTATTTTTACGGGTCTGCGTAGATTAATTGAACTAATGCGGGCGACCTAACATGCACGTCGGATTTTACAAACGACAAGTAATGCTTCATTATCTCAAATCTCTTGATACCGATCTATAAGTCATATTTATCCATATTTCGTTTCTGAGGATTTAACATATAAGTCAATAGTATTAACATATATATATATATATATATTAACATATATATATATATACTTTTAATAACTTTATCGGTGAATTTAACTCGTTCAATGAAAATATAAGATGACGTACGTGAACATTCTAAAATCTATTAAAGATGTGTACTATATATTGCACTTTACAAGTTTACATCGTGGTTGTATTAGAAACTTAGGTTAACTTAAAGTATCTCAAAGTGCAATTGCTAATTAATTAGCAGTGATCTAATTAAGCGGATAAAACTAGGTTAAATGCAGCATTCTATCAAAATTCAGTAATTTGTTTTTTCAATTTTTATACAGTAGATATTTTGAAAAACGAATTTCATGAACTTAGAATAGAAAAACGAAAATCTTGAAACCTATAACGTTCAATCACCTCAAAAAAGTGAAAATAACGAATGAGATAAAATTTTACACATTTAAAATATTTACATAAATCCATTTTATTTGAAAATTCATTTATAATATTAATTTGGAAAAAAATCTAGGCAGGTTAATATTATATTTAACATAATTTTAAAATATTTAAGTCTGCGATTTTCAATAGAAAATAGTTATTTAAATATCAGATAAGAAAATAATAGTAAATATATTATTTTATTTTAATTAGAAATATACATGTTTAAACGTTTATCCTAGTCATGTCATCATGATTCATTTCATTAAAAATATGTATATATTTGATTAGAGCCGGTCTAAGAATCATTAAGTTAATAGTAAATATATTATTTTATTTTAATGCAGCCCGCAAGGTGGTGGGCGAGTGGTAGGGCGAGTCTGGAGTTGAGGGTGAAATCTCCGAACCCGGGTTCAATCTTCTTCCCTCGCTGTTATCAACACTTTGTTGGGAAGTCTGGGCTTGGGCTTCGGCCCAGACAGTTTATCTGGTAGTCTGGTAACAGGCGATTCAGCTACCCCCGGACATTAGTCGGAAAGCATTACAAACTCGGTTCAGGCAGTGTGGTAGCCCATCCTTCGGAGTGGTAGTGAGTCCACTCTATAGCACTCCGGTGCGTTCCTACCGAGGCTGACCGGATCAGCCGATCGGGTATATAAAAAAAAATCATTAATGCATCTAATAATTTTGTTTTTTTATACGAGGATTCAATAATACAGTGCCTCCATGTGTAAGAATAAAAAAAAGAAGTAGAAATGACTATGATCGTCTCTCTAGAAAGTGGACTAGTTTACTTTTCACTGGACATTTTGGAGGTAAAGGATTAAGACATCTATATTTTAATATATATATATATATATATATATATATATATATATATTGATGGAAAAATATATTCTTTGGATCGGAGGTAGATGATATGTGTGATTTCGTGTTGACTCTATGCGAATAAACTACCCCATGGGAACAATTTAGCTGTCCTCAACGTACAGACATGGAATTTGACAACAAAATGTTTCGAATACTATAATCTTGGTAATAAAACGTTAAATTCTTGATTACATGCATGGAGAAAACGGTCTTTTTCAACTCCAACTATTTGCAGGCGGGTTTTTCCAACCCAAACTATTACTCTTAGTCGATTTCAACCCAAACCTAAAATTAATTCAAAATCGAAACCTGAACTAATGCAAATGAGCCGATTTCAACACGACGCGGAACGGTGTTAGTTCGGAAATTAACGGTTATTCAACCTTGGGTAATTCTCTCTCTACAACATTCATCAAACCTTGAAAATAAAATCAAATAACTTTGAGAACTGTTAACTTCCGAACTAACATTGTTTCACGTCGTGTTGAAATCGGCTCATTTACATTAGTTTAGGTTTTGATTTTGTATTATTTTTGGGTTCGGGTTGAAATCGACTAGGGATCATAGTTTGGGTTGGAAAAACCCGCCAGCAAATAGTTGAGGTTGAAAAATGCTATTTTCCCTTACATGCATGTGTCATTAAAGTAACATTTTCAGCCATTAAGTAATAAACCAAGGTGGTCGAGAGAAAAAGAAATGGGGCTAACAAGTGAAGTTCATAAAAGGACAAATACTATAAGTTTAGTTTGGCGATTACTCAAGTTTACAATTTAAGGCAGATATACTGACCCTTGATCACAACTGTTTTACTAGGTGATTGTCTAATCTTAATTTAAAACAAAATCTTAGATCCGAGTAACAACAAGAAAATATGTGTTGCTATTGCCAACAACAAAAAAAATAATGTCTAGACCCGATCATCTAGAGTATTGCCATAAAATAAACAATCAAAAATAGAGAGTATGAATAATCTTTAACAAGAAGAGAGTATGAATAGTATATAGGTTGTGATTTGTGAACTTATATGTGCTTAGACTAGAAAAGAACACCATGTTTAAACTTA